AGTGACAATGGGAGGCCTCTCTAAGGAGACATTTCCAGAAAATCTCAGTGATAGAAAGGAGCCTCATGAGACTGAAGGAAAGAACATTCCAGTCAAAGGGAACGGCAAGTGCAAAAAAGACATGCCTGGCTTCTTTAGAAGAAAAAAAATATACAATCCAAACAATGTGGTATTAGCATATAGACACATAGCCTAGTGGAGTACAATTGAGAGTCCAGAAATAAACCAAATGTGTCTATAGTCCATTGATATTCAACAAGAGTGGTCTAAACCTTCAATGAAAAAAGAATAGTCTTTTTGATAAATGGTGCTGGGAAAACTGGATATCTGCATGCTAAATAATGAAAATGAACCCCAACCTCACACCATCTACAAAAATTAACTCAGAATGGATCAAATATCTTACATTTAGTAAGCGCTTAAACTATAAAATCCTTGGAAGAAAACATAGGGGTAAATATTCATGACCTTGGATTTGGTGATGAATTCTCAGCTATTACACCAAAAAAACAACAAAAGAAAAAATAGATAAATTAGAATTAATCAAAATTAAAAACTTGTTCCTCAAAGAATACCATCAAGAAAGTGAAAAGACAACCTACAGAATGGGAGATTTGAAAATCAAATACTTACACACCTGATAAGGATCTAGCATCCAGAATATATAAAGAATTCTTATAACTCAATAACAAAAAGACAAAGAACCCAACTAAAAAACTGGGTAAAGGATTTGAATAGACATTTCTCCAAAGACAATATGTGAATGGCCAAACAGCACATGAAAAGATATTTAACATCACTGTTCATTAAGGAAATGCAGATTAAAATCACAGTGAGATACTACTTCACACTCACTAGAATGATCAGAATTTTTTAAAGCAAACAATTAAAAGTGATATTACAGATGTGGAGAAATTGAAACCCTCATATATTGCTGTTAGGAGTGTAAAATGGTGTGGCCACTTTGAAAAACAGTTTGGCAGTTCCTAAAAAACTCAACATAGAATTATTGTAGGGGCCAGGCGCAGTGGCTCACGCCTGTAATCCCAGCACTTTGGGAGGCCAAAGCAAGTGGATCACGAGGTCAGGAATTCAAGACCAGCCTGGCCAACATGGTAAAACCCCGTCTCTACTAAAAATTCAAAAATTAGCTGGGTGTGGTATCAGATGCCTGTAATCCCAGCTACTCAGGAGCCTGAGACAAGAGAATTACTTGAACCCAGGGAGCAGAGGTTGCAGTGAGCCAAGATTGCGCCACTGCACTCCAGCTTGGGCAACAGAGCTAAACTCGTCTCAAAAAAAAAAAAAAAAAAGAAGAAGAATTCTCATAGGACCCAGAATTTCCATTCCTAGGTACACACCCAAGAGATCTGAAAACAAGGACACTAATGTTCTTAACAGTCCTGTTCATCATAGCCTAAGTTGGCTGTAAGCCAAATGTCCCTCACCGGCTAAACAGATAAACAAAATGTAGTCTATCTACATTCCACAATCAAAAGGAATGAAGTACAGATACCTGCTGCAACGTGGATGAACCTGGGGAAAATATGCTAAGTGAAAAAAGCCAGACACAAAAGGCCACAGATCATACCATTTCATATGTATGAAATATGCAGACTAGGTAAATCCTTAGAGACAGAAAGTAGATTAATGGTTGCCAGGAGCTGTTAAAAGGGAGAAATAAGAAGTGATGGTTTAATGGGAATGAGGTTTTCTTTTAGGGTGATGAAAATATTCTGGATTGAGATACAGGTGATGATTGTACAACATTGTGGACGTACTAAATGCCACTGAATTATACATTTTTAATAGTTTATTTCATGTATTGGTAATTTTACCTCAATTAAAAAATACATTTTCTACTTCAGGAGGCCGAGTGCCGGGGGGTAGATTGCTTGAGCCCAGAGCTCAAGACCAGCCTGGGAGACATGGTGAAACCCCATCTCTACAAAAAATACAAAGGTTAGCCAGCAGTGGTGATGCAAACCTGTAGTCCCAGCTACTTGGGAGGCTGAAGCAGGAGGATCCCTTGAGCCCAGGAGGCAGAGGCTGCAGTGAGCCATGATAGCACCACTGCACTCCAGCCTGGGCAACAGAGTGAGACCCTGTCTTAAAAAAATATATATGACAAACTACTAATATTCAGACTGCATAAAGAATTTGTATAAGCCAGTAAGAAAAAGACCAAAGAAAACAATTTTTTAATGGGTTAAAGGCTTGAACAGGCACTTTATCAGGGAGGATAGCCAAACAGCCAATAAGCACGTGAAAATATGTTCAACATCATTAGTCACCAGGAAAATGCAAAATAAAACCCATTAAGATAGCAATTATTAAAAAATAAAAAAATAAAATAAAATAAAATAAAATAACAAGTATTGGTGAGGATGTGGAGAGACTGAAACCCTTTTGTTCTGTTGGCGGAAATGTGAAATAGTGCAACCACTGGGAAAAACAGCATTGCAGTTCCTTTTTTTTTGAGACAATGTCTCATTCTATTGCCCAGGCTAGAGTGCAGTGACATGATCTCGGGTCAATGCAACCTCTGCCTCCCAGGTTCAAGTGATTCTCCTGCCTCAGCCTCCCAAGTAGACGGGATTACAGGCTCCCTCCACTATGCCTAGATAATTTTTGTATTTTTAGTTGGCCAGGCTGGTCTTGAACTCCTGACCTCAAATGATCCACCCTCCTCAGCCTACCAAACTGCTGGGATTACAGGCATGAGCCACCACACCCAGCAAAAAGCAAGATCTTGAAGAAATATTTGTATACCCATGTTCATAGAATCAGGATTCACAACAGCCAAAAGGTAAAAGCAACTCAATTGTCCATGTACAGATGAATGGATGAACCAAATGTGGTTTGTACACCATGGAAGATGATCAGGCATTAAAAAAGTAAGGAAATTCTGACATAGTCTAGAACATGGATGAAACCCAAAGACATTATGCTAGATGAAAGAAGCCAGTCATCAAAAGATAAATACTGCTTGATTCTACTTACATGAGGTATCTACAGTAGTCACAGTCACAGAGACAGGGAGTGGAATGGTAGGCTCCCAGGGACTTGGGGGAGGGGAAATGGGAGTTATTGTATAATGGGGACAGCGATGTAGTTTTACATGATGAAAAGATTCCTCGGGATGGATGGAGGCGATGAGTGCCCAAATTGTGAGTGCACTTAATATCACTGAACTGTGCACTTAAAGACAGTTAAGATGGTAAATTTTGTTATGTGTATTTGACTGCAACTAAGAAAACTGGGGCAAGAAAATACTCCCTTCTTTTCCAAAAAGATACACACAAGGAGATACTACACACTCACCAGAATGACTAAAAGCAAGAAGACCAATAACACCAAATGCTGACGAGGGTGTGGAGCAACCGGAACTCTCAAACACTGGCAGTGGAAGTGTTCATTGGTAGACTCACTTTGGAAGATTGAGTATTCACTAAAGCTAACTATTTGCTTATTGTATGACCTAGTCACTCCACTTCTAGATACTTACCCAAAAGAAATGAATGCTTCTGTAAACCAAAAGACATGTGCATGAACATTCCTATTGGCTTTACTTACAGTTGCCCCAAACTGGAAACAACCTAATGTTCATCAGCAGGGAATGGATAAACAGTGATACATCCATACACTGGAATATTATTCAGCAATGAAAAAGAATGAACTAATACTGAAACAACCCGGGTGACTCTTCTATGTTATACTAAGCGAAAGAAGCCAGACGCAGAGACTGTTTCGATTACATTTATGTGAAAGTTCTAGAACAGGAAAAATTAATCCATGTGGTAGAAATCAGAACAGTGCTCTTTCTGGGTGGTATCAACTGAGAAGGGGCACAGGGGACTTGCTGGGGTGAAGAAACCACGCTTCCCCTTGCTCAGGGTGCTGTATGCATCTGTAAACTGTCTCCGAGCTGTACCGTAAAGTCTGTGCTCTTCGTGGTCTGATCAGGATAATCATTTGTAAAGCTTCCTCTGAGTGCAGGTAGAGAGGGGTTTGTAGAGGTCTCAGTCAGAAATGGGGGGGCCCTGTAAAACTGGCACATCAGCAGCAAGCATCCCCTAGCCCCCAAACCTGGCTGGTCAGGCCTGAACCCCAGGAGCAGACCCAGTGTGGACACCAAGCAAAAAGAGGTCCTGGGCTCTTTCCTGCCCCACCACCTTGGGCTTGATGGCAAGACCCAGGCCCAGAGAGGAGGAGGGACCACCCCACAGTGTGGGGGCAGCAGACTGGACAGAAGCCTCGTGCCTGCCTTCCAGCCCAGGGCTCCCTCCCAGCAACAGGCTGTTCTCATAAAGATGCTCTGGAGAAGGTGACCGTGCATCCTTTGAAAGTCCTAAAAGGATCTTTCCCAGTAGGGCACAGGAGGGTGGAGAGGGTCATTATGGGACCAGATGAGGGTGGATAAGGCATTTCCACCCCTCCTCAGCAGAGTGGGGAAGGAACAGTGTCATAAGACCAGCAGGAGCCAGCTCTGAGGTGTCTGAAGAAATTAGGGCCCTGGCAGGGCCACACTCCGCCCAGGATCCAATGGGTCCTGGCTCAAATTGAAAAGAGCCTGGGGAACTTGGAGAACGAGCTACTTCCCTCAGAGAAAGCAGAAAGGCCCCACAGGACAGGGGGTCCAGGATTAGCAGCTGCTGGGCAGAGCAGGCCCACAGGAGCCAGCACTTCCGTTTCCTGATTAGCCCCCAGACCTGCAGTGTCCACACAAAGGACAGGGCTCACTTCTGAGGCCACCACCACTGCCAGGCCCTCCCTCTGGGTTGATAGCTAGGTGGCAGCCATCTTCAGCCTAAAGATTCCATCAACCTCAGGGACTGCCACCAAGCCCTCAGGGCTCTCAGGAGCAAGGAGGATGGAGAAGGGAGAGTAGGGAGAGGGTGAGAGGACCTGGAGTTTATGGTCCCCACCTCCCTGATATCCTTTACCCTGGCCTAGAAGAGCCTTCTGTCGACGAATCCTGGCTGTTAAAAATAACCCACCTCTCTATCATCCTGACAGCCGTGCTCCGGGACAGTGCGTTCCAAGGCCAGGCTGCTCTCCAGGGACAGGAGCGGTGGGGCAGGAAGGGCTGTGGCTTCTCCAGCCCGGCCCAGGCTGGGAGAGATGCCCACAGCCCCGCATCTCAGTCCAGGCATCCCAGCCACATGTGAGTCCGCCTGCCTCCCAAGACCCTGGGTGTGAGGTCCAGTGACAGGGGCCTCTGGGTTCCAGGGGTGCTGCAGTTACCCCAGAGGCTCATGCTGCTATAGGATCCGTGGGCCTCTCCCAGTGACCTGGAACTTGCTTCCCCCTTACATAGAATGCAGCAAAGAGGACACTGTGCCACGTAGCTTCCTTCTCTGATTCCCAAAAATGCCTCTGGCTGGGACCACAGGGGACTTGACAGGAATCGAGGAGAAGGAGGGACTTGGGTGTGTGTAAAGCTCATGTCCTTATCCCGCAGATGCAGTCCCCTCTCTGCTGCCATCCCCTCTGCATAGCACTCAGGACTAAAAGCCCAGGCTCTGGAGGCAGAAAGACCTGGGTTCAAATCCCAACACAGCCCTAACTACAGTGTGACCTGAGAAAGTTACTTAATCTCTCTGTGCCCTGATTTCCTCACTGGTAAAATAGATATTTATGACTCCAACCTTGTAGGGTTGCTGTGAAGCTAGATGAGTTCCCAGTGTTCTTAAATGCAGTGCCCAACACATACTAAGGAAAAAGGAGGAGGAGGAGGAGGAAGACGAGGAAGGGGAGGAGGAGGGGGAGAAAAGGAGGGGGAGGGGGAGAAGAAGAAGTCATCCATCCAGCATCCTAGTTAAGAGCATTGTTTGGAGTGGAATTTCACATGCCTCCTCCTCTACTGACCAGCTGTGTGGCATTGAGCCAGTTGCTTGACCTTTCTGGTCCCTAATTTCCTGGGCTGTAAAATGGAATTATGACCCCTCCTGAAGCCATTGCACAGCCTCTGTGTGGGTGCCCTTAGGATGGGGCTGAGCAGAAGTCAGCACTGGACAAGTGTGCAAGGCCCCATTCAGGACAGTGGGAGAGCTGGAGCCCCAGAGACTGGAGCTGAAGGCAGGGCAGGGTGGGGGAAGGGCAGCTTCCTTGGCCATGCTTCTGCAGGAGAAGTTAAGCCTTCCTGGCCACACACACCACAGAGGCTGGAGGCTCGTAGGCATGGGGCCTGGGGCAGCATGCTCACCCTGGGCTCACCTCGCCCCAGGCTGGAGAGCCTGAGGGGCTTCCTGAGGCTCCTGCAGAGCAGACACATCCAAGGCAACAGGCCCCTCCTGTCCCCACCAGCCACCTTCCTGCAACCCCACTGCATGCAGGGGTGTGGGCAGAAGGAAAGAGAGCGAGAAGGGACCAAGGGAAATGGAGAGAGGGTCCAGGAAGAAGGAGAGAGGAGAAAGTGAGCAAAAGAGGGTGGAGAGAGACCCAGGGACACAAAGGGAGATAGAGAAGAAATTTAGAAACACAGGAGTGACCTCTCTAAAAGACTCAAATGGGAGGGAGGAAGACCAGCTAGGGAACCCCAGCGGGGGCTGTGAGGGACAGTGATGGAGCTTGGGGAGCTGGAGACAGCCTGACTCCCCTGCAAACAGGGCTTTTATCTAAGGATGGATAAGATGTTGTCATGACAACAGATGTAGCATTTAGGGTAATTACTGGTGAATAACAGAGAGAAGAGGTGGCAGCTCTGGTGGGTGCTGCAGCCCAAAAACGGGGTCTCAGAGGCAGCCCCAGGCCCCATTAGCCCCTGCCTCATCCCAGACCCTTCCCTGCACCTGAGCCTAGCCAGGATCTTCCTAGTCCCTGAGGCCAGGACAGACCTTCTGAGCCACGCCTACACGCCCAGGTCCCACCTCGTCACCCATCCTGCCCAAGGCTGACAGCAAACCCAGGCCCCACAGGTGGACACTGCCTCTGTGACAGGCATCTCAGCGTAACTCTCTGCAGGACCCTGTGAGTGAGGTGCAGCAGGAATCTCATTTTACAGATGACAACATAAGAATCAGAGAAGCTGAGTAACTTCTCTGAGGTCACGCAGCAACTAAGCCAGGATCTGAACACAGCTCTGCTGCTCTGCACTGGCCCACCCCAGATGATTCCCATGTATAAGAACTGCTCCTGGGCAGATCTAGAGACAGGCTATTCTTATAAACCTCACCCTACAGCACCTTCTGGAAAAAGCTGGAGACAGCATTTGTGGATGAGAAGACAAGGAGAGCTGGAAAGTGTTATCTGCACATGGCTCCCTATACACACTACACCCCTGTGGCCCTTGAGATGATTATTTCTATTGTAACTAACTGGACACTGGACACTCCAAGTATTTGGGAATCACTGCAGGGTAACTGTGGGGACTGGGCTCTGTTTGGTAGACTGTCAAGTCTGGGGTACCCTGAAAACCAAGGCTTCCATCCAGCTCCCACCAGCCTAGGGGAGTCCCAGCCCTGAAGCCTGCAGTGTCCACAGCTGCCTTGTCTGCCTCTGTCCTCCGGGCTATTGGCCTCACACCCACAGGGCCTCCTGGAAATCCACCAGGTCCACAGGAGGGGGCACATCCCAGCCCTGGGGAGCTTGGAGGGCAGGAAGAGGAGTGGCCTGGCCCGGGCAGCCAAGAGCTCCGGCACAGCCTCTGCGGGGGGCCTGCTTGTCGTGGATCCCAGGCTCTGAGAGGATGAGGCCCTGGCCTTTCACATGCCTCCGGGATCCTGCCCTAAGCCCAGACCTCTGCCTGGCTGGCATCACTGGGGAGACAGAGGGCTCTCTTAACAGCCTTCAGGCTCACCGCAAAGGAGTTTCCTCAAGGACAGAACCCAGACCCCAGCACCTCCCTGAAATAACACCCCGGACCTGGAAAGGCTGGCCAGGGGTGGGGGATGATCCAGCTGGGAGACGAGAGAGCACAGGGGCTGGGGGCTTCCAGGGTCCCCAAGCTGACTGCCCCTGAAAAGTGGGGCTGTTGAGAGGGAAGGTGTGTGGGGTGGGGAGGGAGAGAGAGAGAGAGAAAGAGCAGTCGGTGAGGCAGAGCTGAGGATTTTTTTTTTCTTGAGCTAGAGTCTCCCTCTGTCACCCAGGCTGGAGTGCAGTGGTGCGATTTCAGCTCACCGCAACCTCTGCCTCCCAGGTTCAAGTGATTCTCCTGGCTCAGCCTCCCAAGTAGCTAGGATTACAGGCATGCGCCACCACGCCCGGCTAATTTTTGTATTTTTAATAGAGATGGGTTTCACCATGTTGGTCAGGCTGATCTCCAACTCCTGACCTCAGGTGATCCACACACCTCGGCCTCCCAAAGTGCTGGGATTACAAGTGTGAGCCACTGCGCCTGGCCGACCTGAGGATTTTGAGCCCTTCTAGAGACTTCATCAACAGAAGATTTGATTTAAACAAAGAGAAGGGGAGGAACTGAGGAGAGGGAGTGCAGGGTGCTGAGGTCCTGCAGGGCAGCCCTTCATGCAAGCTGCCCTCCTGCTTTGGACTTCCTTACATGCCCCCGGATGCAGGTCTGTCCCTGCAGCAGTGGGCCCTGTATTGACAGGGGCTGAACATCTCCACAGAGCTCACAGCCAGCTGTGATCAGAGGGACACAGGTGAATCTGCAGCCCTGCACTGAGGCTCCAGGGCAGCCCATGAACTGCCACCTGGGGTGGTCAAGTTTCACCCCAACGGAGGGAGGTGGAGGGAAAGGGGGTGCTCTGGTCACAGGTGGTACCAGGCCAGGCCTGGTGTGCCCAGGGGAGGCGAGAGGCCTGGGCAGAGCGAGAGCAGTATGCATCTTCTGCTGCTCCATCCAGGCCACAGTGTGGACATGAGAGGCTGTGTCCGAGCCACCCTGGCAAACTCTGCAGCCAGGACAAGAAGGGGACTCCCAACTAGCCATGAAAGGCAGAGGGCTTGAGGCCCCCACACATTTACTTATCAGTGGTATCTGGAAGCCTGGCAGGTAGGCTGAGATGGCTGTCGTGTGAACCCAGTAGCTTGTGGGACAGCTAGGGCCCACCTGCCCCAGCCCTTCCATCCACACCCAGAGGCCTGTTCTCACAACTGCAGGCCAGCCCCCCCCGCTGCCCCTGCTCCCACACTGATGTGGGCCGAAGCCCCACACAGAGGGCTGTGCCCTGGGCGTGTGGAGACCTGGGCTCCAGGGTGGCTCCAAGCATCCTCAGACACAGGACCTGGGATACATCCCTAAACCACCTGGGCCAGGTTTCTTCATCTGCAGAATGGAAGGGCTAGAAATCAAATTCAAAGCACCAGTTGTTCTTGTCCTCCAAATCGGCTCTTGGAAACCAGGTTCCTTTCACCTAAACTCTCCAGGTCCTGTCTCCTGCCCTCCATTGACTGGGTTTCTAGACATTCTCAGGACACAGGGGTGCTGGGTGTGCAGCAAGCCTGGAAGACCATTGCCCTCACTGGACCCAGGGGGCAACAGCCTGAGACTTCAGTCCAGGGAGAAGAAAACAAGTTTTTTGGATGCCTTCAGCTGTGACCGCTGTCTCCTCCCATTTCCTCCTCCCCTTCTGGTCCCCCTCCTCCTCTTCCCCCTCCATCTCTGGCTCCCCTTCCTCTCCCCCTCCCCCTTCCTCCTCCTCCTCCTCCTCCTCCTTTTCCTTCCCTTCCTCCTCTCCCCCTCCTCCCCACCTCCTCTCTCCGCTCCTTTCCCCTCCTTACCCCTCCTCCCCCTATTCCTCCCTAGTTCCCCCCCTCCCTCCCCTCTCCCCGTCTGTCCCCCTGCTCCTCTGCACTCAAGGCCAGCTCCTGACACTCATCAGTCTTCTCCACTTCCTGGAGACAGGAGACTCTGACATCCCAGCTTATTTTAGTCAGCTGTCTCCTGGAGCCTCGCTGCTGGCCTGGGGCCTTGCTGCCCTGTCCCCTGCCCCTGAGGGGGCAGCCTAGGGCCAGAAGTCACCTCAGAACATGAGCAAGCCCAAACCCAAGCCACAATCTGTACAGCAGCCCCTGCTCCCCATCTCCTGCCTGGGATGCTGTCGTGTGAATTCAATAGCTTATGGGACAGCTAGGGCCCACCTGCTCCCGGCCTTCCCATCCACACAGAGGGCGCCACCCCCCCACAGACCCTCCTCCCTGCCCCCCACCAAGGCCCACCCACTCAGGTGCCCAATGAGCCTCCCTTTCCACAAGGGTCACTCATGCCATCCCTCAGTGCTCTGTACCCTTGGCACTGGTAGCTTGACCCCACCTCATACCCAGGGTGCAAGGTGGTGTTGGCTCTCTGTGGCCTTTGAGCCTGGCACAGAGCTTTGTACACAGGAGACTAGAGTCCAGGCAG